CAGCGCACAGCGCGCACCCCTTCCCAGCAGCGCATTTTGATGCGCATCCCGCACAGTGCAACCGTTGCGCGCACCCGCGCACATGCGCATGCGGTGTGGGTGAGCGCATCCCGCACGGCGCGCCGCACTGGTGCACCGCAAGTATGGCGCAGATCCAAGTAACCAGTATCTTCATTCAGGTAAGTATCTCTCTCACTGCTCTTCTCTCTTCTCGCTCAGTCTGCTCTCTGTCTACTACCTCCCTTTGTCTTCTCTCGCTACTTGTATGCACTCACACCCTCTACTACTCAAGGACCAACTCTGAATACACCCACTGCTGATTCTACTAACCCCTCTGAGTTCTACTACTACCTACTAAGCACTGGCGCAGCTATGGCTGCCTTCCCTCTGCCAGCGCTGAGGCAGCTATGGCTGCTCCCCCTCTCTTCCTCTAACAGCGCAGCTCCCTGGCTCCGTGCTCTGCCCCTCGCATAGCGCACAAGTGCACCGCCACTTCCACACTTCATGTGAATGAGCAATCTGCCCGAATGAGGAGGCAGGCCAGTCCTTATATTGTCTTGGCCTGAGCTTCAACTCGTCCCAGCCTCCGCTTCTTGGGCTTCACTTGGTTCTGGTACCACATCCCCACGGCCTCTTTGCTTCAGAATGTCAGGGCCTGGTAGTTTTCCCGAATTTCCATTGGTGTGCTGCTGCTTGGGCCTGTGAGTCACGACTTTTCACTTGTGGAACTTTTTTTCACTGTGGGATGTGTCTCTTGCCTCTGGGACACGACTTTTGCCTCGGGGGAAGTGTCCTTTGACTGTGGAATATGACTTTTCAATATGACTCTTCAATATGAGACGTGACTTTTGCTTATAGAATGCAACCTTTGCCCCCGGGATGTTACGGTTCACCGGGTGCCTGTTGGACTTAGACTCCTAAGGTACCCGACTGTGACTCCTCTGAATCTGACCGTCTTGGCCTAAGACCTTGACCTTGAAACTCAAATTTGGGGTCTGAATCATGGAAGGCCTTTCACAATGACACTCAGGCAAAACTTGCTTGTACGTCGGAACCATAGCGAGAAGATTCGCATCGCCCCTCTACAAGGACAACACACACAAATTGAGAAATGGTCCTACGGAAAAAAAAAGAAAAAAAAAAGAGAAGTTATTCATAACTTTAAACTTTGCAACTTTGTAATAAGTTTGTACTACTTTGTATTGTAAATTTGCAATGCTGCAGACCTGGCCAGAGTGTTTTTTTTAACTTTTTTAACTTTCTTTTTTTTTTTAAACCTGCCAGAGTGTTTACTTTCCAGATGTCTTTTAATTGTTTTTGAGCTTTGAAAGTTGAAACATCAAAACTTGAGGAAACAAATCAAAAAAAGTGACAAGTCACCTTTAATGAATTAATCCGAATCTGGACACTGCTATCTAGACAGGGACATCCAGACTGACTGTCGGCATCACTGGCCAGATGTCCAGTTTGTAACGATGATGGGGACCGTCTGTCAAGCAAAGAGACTACTAAACATGATACAACTGAGGGCAGTATGTGGAACAACACGTACCTTCTCATTAACATCACGTATTGGAGGACCATGGACCTCACCACCCGCAAATGGAGCGCCCACAGGGAATCGTTCAATGCATTGACTTGGAGTCAACAGAGACAAACTTGTTCGGTCATCATGGCTCATAAATGCACCCAACGCACCAAGGAACCCCTCATGTCGTAGAAACATAGCTTGCATTTCCCCTCTTGACCTGTGAAGCACAAGGAGAATTCATTTCAAATTTCGAAAAGAGAAGACACAAAAGTCCACTTTAGGATGTGAAAAAAAAAAAAAAAAGCCCACTTAGGATGTGTGAGAAGTCCACTTATCGATGTGTGGAATCATATACCCAAATTCACAGGAGTCAGAAAACAGCAACAGGATTCAGTCATCTGACAACAAGAACAAGAACAACAGAATGACAAAACAGGAAAAGCCTGTACTCCCTTCCCAAAACAAAAGCCCATTTTCATTCACACATCACAGCGTGCAAAATGTCTGTTGCGATCATTTATAGGGCTGCCGCTGCAAGCATCCCAAATACCGATCATCAACTCTAAGTGCTGAATTGCACAACCCATCACACAGAAGGCGCAAGTTCTCGCTAATCGGCACATTGTGCTGGAGAGAGAAGGAAGTACAGCCATAGCTATGCAAAGTTGTAAACACAATACTTTTATGTACTGTCATTCCAATCGATGAGTGCCTTGTGGTTCGAATTGCATAACAGTGCGCTAAACATTGTTTCTGTGACTGGGTGGTGGACATGGAACCGGAGTCATCGGAATGATGCTCCCTAGAATAGACGGTAGCCGGACCGTAAGGAAGAAGGTAGGGAACGCAACCATGAGTACACTTTCTTTCTCCTGTTAAATTTTTTTGGTTGGATTCTGTGTGACTAACTTCTTTGTTGAGTGGAAACCTGTGTTGCACACCCCGACCATCGGCGACCCTTGACTGGTCGGCCCCTACCGGTCGGGGGTCGTCGGCACACCGCCAAGACCCCTAATAACCCCACAAACAACCCCATACCCACCCCAAATACCACCATACACCCCCCCAACCTGTCTCTTATACACATCTAGATGTGTATAAGAGACAGCAACTCAGATCTGGAGAAAAATTAGTGGATGGCTGTTTTCTGTCTGGTTGGCAGACCGCCGACCGGTCGGTCCTACCGGTCATCTGCAAAACGGTCGGCGATCAGGGTCGGCGGTCGGCGGTCGGGGTCGGCGGTCGGCAGCTATGCAACCCTGGTGGAAACGCATTTCAGTCTGTGGAGAATTGACAAGGGAGTAAAGGATCTGTGTGATCCTGCCGTGGTATCGGAGCTGTTGCCGTCAACAACCTTTGGCTAACGCTGTCGCACCAAATCACTATGCCACAATGTCATGCTGCGCTGGCGCTCCACATCCGCATCCCATACCGCATCAACAGCTTACCACCTCATCACTCCCGAATGTTGGAATTCATCACATGATTCCCCACTCATTGCAAGGTGAACAGTGCTACAAGGATGGAGAGACCTATTGAAGGATTGTCACACAGAAGTCACCACAAGTTCTCACCCACCTGTCGGATCTTCTAGTTCTAGAGAGTGCATCGATCAAAGATCACAAGCTGGTCCATGCATCATATAAACTTCGACCTCAACAAGCCTTGAACAAATGGTCATAGATCCGCACATTTGGGCCTAAGTTCTCCTCCGTGCAAGCACGGATTCGAACCGGAGACCTCAGCCAAGAGAGCCAAGTAGCTTAACCACTACAGCCAGGACCACTACAGCCAGGACATGGTGTTAAAAACTGGAACCATACTGGTCATGATATCCACCCCACCCCTGCAAGGCTGTAGTCTCCAACTCAACAACACGCGCATCAAAGAGACTCACATCACCCCAACAGTGGTTATAAGGATGGAGAGAGCTATTGAAGGACTGTCACACACAAGTCAGCACAAGTTCTCACCCGTCTGTCGGACAATGCTAGAGAGTGCATTGATCAGAGATCACAAGCTGGTCCATGCATCATATAAACTTCATCCCAACAAGCTTTGAACAATCAGAGAGACTCACATCACCCCTGGCTTGCCTTCCCGATCACTTCTGAATCTTCTTTCTGATCATTCTCCATGCCTGTATTGATTGTACAAAGTACTACAAGCCATATGGATGGGTTCATTGACTCAGTCAACGGCAGTTTCCACAACTTTCCAGATAGAAACATCCGGCGTGTGGACCCGGCATGGAAAGATAGCAGCAGGCAAGACACTGGAGCCGGTCCTGATGAGGATGCTGTCAGTGATACGAGCAGACCAACGGTGGGGCTGTCGTTTTGTAGCGCTCATGGGTGAGCAGACCAACGGAGGGGCTGTGGTTCTGTAGCTCTCATGGGTAAGCAGACCAACGGTGGGAGAAGGCGATAAATCAGGGAAGGGTGCTGTGGAGCCAGTATAGACAGAATTCTGGAATCTCAGCAGGAGGACGATGTTCTTAAACCACCAGTACCTACCGGTTGTTCAGGACCGATCCTCATTTTCGCCTGCGCGCCGATTTTTGCTGAGCCAGCGGGGAGTGGGAAAAAATACGGGACATCTGCTGCTGCAAGCAGGTACCACCCCTTATGCTGGACCTGCTGCCAGCAGATGGAACGCAAACAGGCCGTCGTTTTCTTGTTTCCATTCACACATTGAATGCTCCCGTGAAGGATCTTCTTCCAAAAAAAAAACAAAAAGGGGGAAAAAGCTGAGTACGGACGCCGCCCGGCCGGGCTACGCCTGGCCGGGCGGGGCCCGGGCAGGTCGCCCGGGCAAACCGGGCGGGCCAAAAAACAGCCCAGAA